TTTATATCGGGTATCTATTGCATGATTGGTTATAAAAGTAAAAATAAAATAAAATAGGAGGTAAACAGGAAACATTCAAATGTCCAGTAATCAAGGGTTGGTTAAACAAATTATGGCACACTGAAAAAACAATATTCTGTAGCCACTAAAAACGAAAATAGAGCCACATAGAGACATATGTATTATATGTTTTGCAAGTTATATAGAACTATAATAGTAAGTCCCATTTATGAAAATACTTTATGATGGTTTTCTTTCAGATCCTTATTACATAACCAATTTTTAATTGTTATGATCGAATCATTATAAATAATCATGCAAATATGCTGCTATTTTATTATATTAAAAAAACAGAAAATAAAACTTCAATTAGCTTCTCTTGACCCTATTTCCCCCACCCACATCATCTCATTTCTTCGTTACCCTTTGCAGTAAAACCCCTTTCATTTCTCCCTTCTCAAACCCACTCAGGCTGGTTTTGTACGTTTCAAGGTCACCAGTGGCCTTCATATTGCGAGGCCCATAGTCATGTCTGTCCTCCTCCCACAGGTTCCATCGGAAGCTTTCACACAGCGGCCACGCCCATTTCCTTGTAGGACTTCTTCGCTGGCTTCCGGGAGTCCACCCTCTCCTACTCTCCTCCTGCCTCATTGCTTCCTCCTCAGCCTTTGCCACATCCTCCTCTTCTTGCCAGATTTTTAATGTTAGTTCTCTTCTCTGCCTACGTGTTCCTTTGACCTTATCCAGCGTGCATTTCAGCATCGTCTACCCTCACCTGTTTCTTTTTCTTAAACTCCTGACTCAGAAATGCAACTGCCTACCCTGATTTCCAATACACATCTCAAACCCATCATGTCCCTAACAGAACTCATGCCTACCCCCTACCCTCATTAAACCTGCTTCGTTCACTTGTTGGCACCTAAATCTTTCCTGATGCTCAAGCCAAACCATGAAACCATCTGTAAACATCATCCTGTCTCTCTCATATCCAGGTCCAGTCCTTCAGAAAGTCCTCTGGGCCCTCGTCAGGTTATATTCCCAAATCCAACTGCTCCTCATCACCTTCACGGCAACTGCTCCGGTCCAGTCCACCACCATCCACCACCTGGATTGCTGCAGTGTCACTTCCCTTGTCTCCCCCACAGCCTCCATCACCACGGGAGTCAGAGCTGCCTTACAACATATGTCTGATCATATCACTCCTCTGCTCCAAACCCTGGAGGCTTCCCCTCTCACACAGAGTAAAAGCCTACAAGGTATGTGACCCTTCTTCCCTTGGCCACGCTCTGATCTCATTGTCTGGGCGTCTCCCCACCACCCTCTCTGCCAGCCTGGCCAGCTTCCTGGCTATGTCTTGAGCACACCAGGCCCATTCACCTTCAAACACACATGCTGTTCACTCTGCCTGGAAGGCTCAACCGTACATCTCTGCACTTCCTTCAAGCATTTGTTCAGATGCCTCCTTCTCAATGGAGCCGACCTCTCTCCAGCTGTCCTGGTCCCCCTCACCTGCTCTACTTTTTCTTTTTTTCCATAGTATTTTTTACCTGATAAAATATCAAACAATTTCCTTATTATATATATACATATATATGAGGCCCAATGCAGGAAGAATTGTGCAAGAATGGGCCTTCCTTCCCCTGGTTGCCGGTACTACCTTTGCTCAGTCTGGAGAACTGAGGCTGGAAAGCTGAGGAAAAGGCAGTGAGCAAAAGCAGGTGTTCTGTCTGCAGGCACTGGTTTGCATCTAGGGGGCAAGACTGACATTAAGCACATAATCCCACAAAGAAATGCACCAGTGCACAACTGTGATACGTATTATGGGAAAATATAATTGCAATAAGGCCTGGCCCAAATGAGTTTGACCAGTGCTGAACGGAATCTGCCCTGAGGCCCGCAGTGGCTGTGTGGTGTGGAATGCCTGCGTCATCGCCACAGTGATGATGCAAGCATTCCGCTCCCAGCTGCTCGGCATCTGTGTAAGCAAATTAACCTACCATCTTTGTTGGGTTAATTTGCATGCTCACTCCTGATTGGTTGGTGGGTGTCACAAAGGTACAGTCAATTTGCATATTTCTCTTTTATTAGTGCCAATGGGGAGGGTGCCCTCTTGGGAGTCTGTGCAGAGGTTGTGGCCCGATTTCTGCAGATGCATGTTTGGGGTACCCAAGAACTGCTTTAAGGCTTGAACAACCCAAGTTTTTGTAGTCTGGATTCATGAACTCTTCGGTGATACGAGTCCTTCAAATGCTTAGTCAGCTCCTAAAGTACCGTGAAATATAAGGCATCCCTCCGAAAATAGCCCCCCCCCCCTTGTCTAAACATGAAAGATTTGGTCCACTGATTCTGAAAGAAATGGAGTCACAAGAAATTCACCAGGAAATTCAGGAATTGGATCGTTAGGATGATGTTCCAGAAGATGATGACATGATTGTCGTTGAATAAATGAATAAATTCTTGATACTGTAGAATTCAGTTTGTCTGGTTTGTGTTGACAACTACCATACTACCGTACTGTATACAGGTACTAAATTTCCTTTCTTTTCATTGAACAATAAATGTGTGCCGTATTCTTCTTCATGGAAAAATAAGACATCCCCTGAAAATAAGACCTAGCGCATCTTTGGGAGCAAAAATTAAGATAAGACACTGTCTTATTTTCGGGGAAACAGGGTATGTGCAGTCATTTCATGTGCCAGTTGTTGAGCTTTATAACGTTTGCATTGTAACCTCTATGCCTCTCCTTCAGCTTAAAGGCAACCATCTTGAAGGCATCAGGGAAACACGGGCTTGAGTGTGAAGTACCCGCCCTGCTCTTGGCTGCAGTGGGGAAACTACCTGTTTAGTGAGAGTTTTTAATGGGCTTTTGTTGCTCGAAGCCCTTTTGCTGTCATCATTCTTTGGGGTTCAAAACAGAAGGCTTCAGATTTCTGGATTCATCCTATTCCTTTTCATTTCTGCTCTTGAACCAGCCACTTCTTTCCCGATTTCACTCTTCCTTGTACCGATGCACTAAACAAAGCCAATAAGAATCAGCACGTACTAATTTTGGATTTCCCAACCTCTCCTCCTGGAGCCATAGACCCAGTAACACTTTGCTCACTAAGTGACTATGGGACAATTTTATTAAGTAATCTGTTGTTATATAACATGGGTCTTCATCTTCTCAGCCTCCAACATCCATTTTCTTGCCTTCCTCTGCAGTGCTACATATTTTAGGGTTTATTCTCTTTTCCTCCATGGGCTTTTAGAGCAAGAGAGGGAGGAGGAAACAGAGAGAGAAACATCGATGTGAGAGAGACACATGCCCTTGACTGGGAATTGAACTGGCACAATGGGGGGCCCTTCTCCTTGAAGTCATTCAAGTTTCTAGATGTCAAAAGTGAAGCCCCTTCAGCACGTGGGTGCCAAGGTTGCCCTGGGGGTCTGTTTGCTCCCGGCAGTCAGAGATGAGAAGAGCATGGACAGCTCTGGCGGGAAGTGTGAGCCTCATAAAATGTCTTCTCATGTGTCATTTTCTAGAACTCAGTCACCTCGTCCATCAGATGCCAGGGACGGGGCATGCTGGGCTGGAGGGTACAGCTCCTGGGTGCAGTCACAGTGCTGTGCCAGTTTTTTGAGTGGAAAGTTAGCTGATCTCCCACAATTTTAAATAGAAACGTTAATAATGTGAACTCTCAGCTCTGTCCTCTGATCTGCCAGCCGATAGACTCACTGAAAAGGGGGTTTATCAGAAATTGGGTTGGAAGTGAGGGGCCTTCCTCACTGACTCAGTCTGGGAAGGAAGAAGAGAAGGAGCAAGCAGGGCATCTTTTCACATTAACTTCCTCCCTGTTTTAGTAAAAAAAAAAAAAAAAAAAAAATCCCTCTTAGGCTGAGCAATTACTAACTGCTGGCTTTCAGGACTTAACTTTTAAACAAAGGAATTGGAAAGCCGAACCACAATGCGCTTTGGTCCGGAGTGAGAGTGGGCAGAGGCCTGGATGGAAGGGAGTGGGAAGCTGGGACAAGAGCTTAAGCGGCAGGAGCTTTGCCATTACTTCCTGCCCCTGGAGCACCCGTGTGGGGCGGGCAGTTCACTCCTGCCGGTGCCCGCGGTGGGCGGTGGGCGGTGGGCAGGCGCTGCCTGCTGCAGAGCGGGTGGGACAGCCACCCTGGGAGCCAGCGAGGCCAATTCTGTGGAAGAAGCCTTCTTTGTAAAGAACCAAATCCAATCAAGCCGTGGCTCTCTAGCTGCAGATCAGTACCAGCCGCGCTCTTCCCAAATTCGTGTTGTCACAGCCCCGGGCACGCAGCCTAGAGAACCAGAGCCAATGGGCTTCCCGTGTGCCGGAATGGATGTTGATGACTTAGGAGGACCGAGTCTGACACACAGCTGACTGTCTGCTTAGACCAGTGACCCGAACAAACCCTTCTGTAGAGCTGAGGCTCTGGTTTTCACAAAAGGGAGAGGGCTGCTCACCATTCAGAATACGTCTTTCCCTACTGCAAGTTGTTTTTTAAATATATTTTTATTGATTTTTTTACTGAGAAGAAGGGCGAGAGATAGAGAGCATCGTCGATCAGCTGCCCCTTGCACACCTCTTACTGGGGACGTGCTCGCAACCAAGATACATGCCCTTGGCCGGAATCGGACCCAGGACCCTTCAGTCCACAGGCCGATGCTCTCTATCCACTGAGCCAAACCAGTTTCGGCCAAGTTGTTGTTGTTTTAATTAAGATCTGACTCGTGGTGCATTTCAAACACAGTGCATGCAGTTCACCTTGCCCAGGGCACAGCAACTGTGGAAAGTGAGGCTCTGTCACAGTGTGAGGCCCTCGGCCACGCCCTGGGTGCCAGGCCCTGCCAGCCCAGCTGTCCCAGCCCGAACAGGTGGTGTAAGACAATAGCCCCGTGACTGAGAGCCGGCCAGACCCTCCGGCCGCCAAGGGTCCAGCCAGCCAGACGCCTGCAAGCAGCCCAGTCGCCAGACTCCACCAGCCCAGCCAGCGCCACACTCATGGAGCCCCGGCCGCTCCTCCTGCTCCTCAGCCTCTGCTCAGGTAAGTGCGGGTTTTGGGGGGCTTTTCTCTGAGGCTGATGCACTAGGACCCCTCCCCCCAAAAAACCAGAGCCTTGCTTCTTTGGTGGGAGCACAGAACGGCAGCTTCAGCGGCCCCAGACGGCTGTCCGTTTCTCACCAATGTCCACTTGTTTGGGTTTAGGGATAAAGATTGTTAGTTTGTGCTAATCCAGTTAAACTGGGAGAGGCTGGGTCAAAGGCTACAAAGCGGACAGGCCTCTCTCCCCCCATGGGTGCCCGGCCCCTACGGCCCCTGTGAGCAGTCACCACCCCCTCTCCCTGCTCAGAGCTGCTCTCACACTTAAACAACCACAGGGACTCAGGGTGACGGCTCACACCCGCAGACAATAGGTTCACAAGCCCTCGGATGGCTCCCAGAGAATTCTGAACGCGAAGAGGCTTGATTGACAGCTCCAGGTGCTGGAAAGAGAGAACCCTATTCATGATTGTAATCCAATGCTCCCCATGAGCTGAAATACTGTGTAACGTTTTATAAACTTCTGAAGTTAAAAAAAAAAAAAAAAAAAAAAGAAGAAGAAGAAGAAGAAAAAAAGGAAGCTCATACGAATGCTTTCTTGCCTACTTTATTTTGGAAGCACATTGCTCTCGGTGGGTGCGGGTTTGAAATGAAACGGCGAAACCTCACACAGCCCTTGACCTTCATTCAGCCCTGGAATGTGCCGCGGCACAGCAGCTGAAGCCCTATCCTGATCCCAGATTTCCGGCAGAGGAAGCTAGAGGTTTGCTGATGGCTTCACGTAAAAGCTTCCTGGTGACATCATCCCCACCGAGAGGCAGGCAGCGGACACGCTGTGATTTCTCTTCTCTCGTGTCGCTCTGACAGCACAGGCCTCTGGGCAAGAGCGGTGACCAGCGCTATTCTGAACGTTTTTTCAATAGCAGAGTTGAGGGAAATGGCCTAAACTCTAATAAATTCAGATACATTATATCCTGTGGGATTTGGACTTGATCCAACCAGAGCTGGCGGGTGGTGAAGGTGGTGTGTGTCTGTGTGTTTCTGTGTGTGTGTGTGTGGGGGGGTGTTAGTGTGTGTGTGCACGCGGGCAAACACTACACACAGTGAAAATTCTTAAGTTACATGCTTATGTGTAAAAATCCTTTAGGAGATCTCTTAACCTCCAAAGATGCATGTTTAGCTACTTGAAAAGGCATGTGATATGTATTTAGATCAATCCTAGAATTTGCTGGTGTCGATTCACATGAGCGAATGCACAGCTGGACAAGGCATTCCACCATCTTTGATTTTTTTATTAGGGAAACAGGCTGAAAGGCATGAACTGACCTGCCCACAGTCACTCAATTTATAAATCTCGGAATGTGATCATTTATAGACGGCATGGGTTATGTGCACAGTCAGAAAACAGCCTGGAATGTCTAAGGTAGCACACTATCTGGGCACCAGGCTGGGATAAGCGTTACTTACCCAAAGTGACTAGTAACAGTACTGAATTCCCTTGTCTGACCCAGTGGGCATCAGGACACAGATTGGGCCAGTGTGATACAAAAATCACATTGAGGTTGTGTTGGGCTTCCCTGTTTAGAATCAGTCCGTGTGGGCAAAATTCTCATCAGATCAGGGATACATTTTCCTGAGTTAGCTTAATACATAGTTACCTCTGTTCTATTTAAATAACCTTTAAAAAAAAGATTTCCTTTTAAAAATGTTTTTATTTATTTCAGAGAGAGAGGGATAGAAACATCAATGATGAGAGAAAATCATTGATCTGCTCCCTCTTGCACGCCCCACACTAGGGATCTAGCCTGCAACCCAGGCATGTGCCCTGACTGGGAATCAAACCTTGACCTCCTGACTCATGGGTTAATGCCCCAACACTGAGCCACACCGGCCCAGCTCTTTAGCACTTTGTTATTACAACTTTTCTTCTCTTCCATCTTAAGAATCCCAGCTACTTTACTGCCACCTCTCTTATAGCATGTTACTTTCCAGTTTGTTCAGTTATTCATGTAAGTGACAAATGGCAATCGCCAGGAGGACAGGAAGACAGGATTTATGCCTGATTCACTTCTGATGATCTCAAAGCTCCTAACACAATGCTTTGCACACAGTAAATGCCCAACAAATATTTGATAAATGAATTAAATGTCTGAATCAGGATGCTTTTGCTGAAACGGGACATTACTTACTTGTTTTTCTGTAGGGTTACTGATTTACACCCTACTTTTTAAGGACCGTATTTACTGTGGCCCATGGGCTTCATGAGGGGTTGGTCCCATTCTCCAGACCACGTTGGAGTCAGGAACAGAGTCATAGATTCTGACCTCAGGTTTTCTATCACTCTACCCCGTTTTGAGGAGGAAAGAGGGACAGAATGCTCATGACCCTGATTTAAGAAACGGGGACTTGGAAATTCCTGAGAAATTCACTAAGGAAGGAGCCAGGGCCTTGTGATTGTCCGGGTGGGAGAGGAGGAAATGGGCGTCACCGGCAGGCTGAGTGTCCTGTCTCCAGTCCTGCCCTCTCCCTGGTGGGCCATCGGGTTGGCCTGCATAGTTTTCCTGCTACATAATGCCAACCATCTGCTCTATCTGTTGCTTTAGTATGTTCTTCCTGCCAAACCGGAACAAACCACCACTTGAAAACAAGCAGCCCAGGGCAGTGCCAAAGCAATAGCGTCACATTCGGAGGCCAAGGCACTCAGTGGCCCATGCTGGTCCCCTCCCCCTGTGTGCTGAGTGGGGCCCAGGATAGACAGGCAAGAAGGACAGGGATCAGCTGTGTCCCAGGATTAAGCGGGTGACTGCAAACACTGAGTCTCTGGACAGCGTGATTGTGGAGAGTCCTCGAATGTGAAGGTTTGGGGAGATGCCATGTGAAATCTCTGCACAGACCCTTTGGAGTGTGCAAAACTGGGGAACGAGGCAGGCTGGGCCCGGGGTTCCCCACAGCAACTCCAGGGAAGTCATAACAAAGAGTTTCAGCTGCACGGAGTGGAAATGACACATGATCTTTAGGGAGGAGGGAAAGAGCGTGCTCCTGGTGTCACACTGCCCCATTCACAGTCCCGCCTCTAACCAGCTGGGAACCATGAACACTGGCCAACTGTCTGTGCCTCAGTTTCCTCATTTGTAAAACAGGGCGAAAACATACTCATAGGCCTGTTATTAGGACTTAAAAAGTCAATACAAGACAGGGCCTTTATATATATATATATATATATATATATATATATATATATATATATATATATATTTTTTTTTTTTTAATTGATTTTTTACAGAGAGGAAGGGAGAGGGACAGAGAGCTAGAAACATCGACCAGCTGCTTCCTGCACATCCCCCACCAGAGATATGCCCACAATCAAGGTACATGCCGTTGACCGGAATCGAACCTGGGACCTTTCAGTCTGCAGGCCTACGCTCTATCCACTGAGCCAAACGGGTTCTGGCAAGATAGGGCATTTACTAAAGTTCATGGACTAATAATTAAAGTACACCGTTGGGGGATAAAAATGTTTCAGCAACATTGGTCATTTCCAGGTGAACCCAAGTACTGGCTGAGAAAGAGGGGCTGAGAGCATGGGCTGAACACTCGCTCCACCACTTATGAAACCTGGCCAAGAACTTCACCTCTCTGTGCCTCAACTTCCCTATCTGTAAAGTGAGGACAAAAATAGCACCCACCACACCCCATCAGGAGGCTAGAGTTAGTGTGTATACAGTGTGTAGAAGAGTGGCAAATAAGTTGGATATGTCAGTTATTTTTACTAATGAAAACAGAAAAAGGAATTACTTTTTATCTTATTTCGTTGACAAACTCTTCAAACATAATGTCCAGGGAGAAAAATAATAGCCTGCCTTAGTGGTAGTAGGCTAACACGGGGAAAGAGAGCATCTCTTTCATTCAACTTTTAAAGCTGCCTTGGCCCAGGGAGAGGGTATGGGGTTTCAGCAATAACCAGCGGAAAGGGGAGCTCTGGTTACATGAATCAAGGCACACGGGTCATGTGTCTGCTTCCTCTCCCAGCCCTGAGCAGGCCGTCCCCCACCCACCCTCGGTGTGAGTTACAAAGATCCTTCCCAAGGCATTTGCTGCAATTCTTTTTTTCATTGGGATAATACTGAGCGGTTTCCAAGACAGCCGCCGCACACCCATAATGCTCAGAGTTAGTGCAGGAGCACAAGCAGAGGGACGGGCACTAGTCCCAGCGCTGCCCCAGCCCGTGACCTTGCACGGGTCGGCCAACCTCTGAGTCCCAGCCTGCCTGCCTGCCTACCTGCCTGCCTCCCCGGAAGCTGGTGAGGACCACATAACATTGGCCACAAAAGGGCTCTGAGCCCCAAGAGTGTTGATGATACTGCCCTTCATCCTGAAAGAAGATGCAGTAAAGATTTCTTAGAATCACTCGTGCTCCAAATCGGAGCGCCAAACCCAGGTTGGCAAAGCAGTTTTCACTTTGTCTTAACAGCTCAACTGGGAGATGTCCCCACCAGCAGTATTTTTTTTTTTTAATAATGGTAAAATACACATGGCATAAAATTTACCATAGTAAAATACACATTACATAAAATTACCACTTTAAAGGGAACTATTAAGTGGCATTACCTACATTTAAAATGTTATGCAACCATCACCACTGTCTAGTTTTAGAACTTTTTCATCTCAAAAGGAAACTCTGTCCCCCCAGGCTCTGGTAACTGCTAATTTCTATCCTGGACATCTATAATAATAAAAGCGTAATATGCAAATGGCCAAACAGTGGGACAACCATCAGGATGACCTTCTGGACAAAGTGAGGGCTGCAAGGGCCAAGGCAGCTGGGCTGTGAGGACCAAGTTTCTTGCACAAATTTTGTGCACCGGGCCTCTAGTCTATAATAATAAAAGTGTAATATGCAAATCAACCTAACAGCCGAACAGTGGAACAACCATCTGGACCACCTTCTGGATAAAGCCGGGGCTAGGAGGGCCAAGCCCCTTGCACAAATTTCATGCACCAGGCCTCTAGTTTCATATAAATGGGACCATGCAATATGTGCTCTTTTGTGTCTGATTTATTTCATGTAGCATAATGTTTTCAAGGTTAACCCATGTTTTAGCATGTATCAATACTTCATTTCTTTTTCTGGCTGAATAATAGTCCACTTGCCCGGTTAAACCACAATTTGTTCACCCACTTACCGAGTGATTGTTGAGTTGTTCCTATCTCTTAACTATTGTATATAATGCTGCTATGAACATCCAGGTACAAGATTTTGTATAAACAATTCTTTTGAGTTATACCCAGAAGTGAAATTGGGATGCCGTCTGCTAACCCCATATGCCTTGTGTGAGGAACCACCAAAATGTCTTCCACGGTGAATGCATCATTTTATTCTCTCATCAGCAACATCTCAGGGTTCCTGTGTCTTCACTGTGTGACCAGCATGTGTCATTTCCAACTTTGCTGGTTATGGCCATTCTGATGGGTGTGTCCCAGCATTAACGGCTGGCTGTCCCTGGCATCTGAGGCCAGCCAGTTCGGGATTGTATTACGCCAACACCGGACTCTGAAATACTGAGGCTGGCTTTTGTGCGGTCCCTTCTTCCTGCGTATATGTTCCTAGCAACGATGATGCAGCCAGAAGCTGGATTAAGGAATGCCATCCTGTCCAAAGGGCAAGTGCCATGCTAATCTGGCACACCCCATGGAGAAGGGACTGCACCAGCAGCTGTGCCTGGACAGGATGGTGGGCAACACTAGCTGCATGTAGGAGCCCTTCGGCCAGGGGTCCTGCGTGCCTTCCTTCGCGGGTCACACCTCTGGCACTCGTGTTAGCGTCCGTGGGGGTGGGGAGCAGAATCTGACAGCGTGCATGCCATCTGCTTCCTCAGCTGGCCTGGTCCTGGGCTCTGAGCACGAGACCCGTCTGGTGGAAAAGCTATTCGAAAACTATAACAGAGCGGTGCGGCCAGTGGAGGACCATCGCCAGGCCGTGGAGGTCACCGTGGGCCTGCAGCTGATCCAGCTCATCAACGTGGTGAGTCAGATGCCGGGGCTCCCACGGCAACCCCCCTCTCCCGAGCATCCTCCCCTCAGCTCCCCTCCCCGCCCCCTGAACCTGGGTCTTGTCTTTTTTCAGGATGAAGTAAATCAGATCGTGACAACCAATGTTCGACTCAAACAGGTAATTCAGCTAGATGACTGCATTTATTAAACCTGAAATGTAACCGGGGCCCAGAGTAAATCAATTTGGGCAAAGGGGGTACATGCCGAAGTGTTAAGGTAAATATTTTGGGGTGGTGGGACTATCACATGTGTTGGTGGGAGCTTGTTTTTAACATTGTGCTTTTTCTGGGTGTATTAGTTTGCTAGGGCTGCTATAACAAAACCGCAAACGGGGTGGCTCAAACAACATATTGCCTCGCAGTTCTTGAAGTCAAGGTGTCGATAGGATGGGTTTCTTCTGCGGGCGGCGAGGGAGAGTCTGCTCCAGCCCTCCCTCCTTTGCTTACAGTTGGCCATTTTCATGTTCACGTGGCATTCTTCCTGAATCTGTATCCATCTTTAAACATGCCCTTTTTTTTTTTTTTTTTTAATTGGCCACCTTTGCCTCTTTAGGCAGATCTGTGTGTTTGTTTGTTTTTTAAATAAATATCTTTTTATTTATTTCAGAGAGTAAGGGAGAGGGAGAGGGAAAAACATCAATGATGACAGGGAATCATGGTTGGCTGCCTCCTGCACGCCCCCTACTGGGGTTTGAGTCCACAACCCAGGCATCTGCCCTTGATGGGAATCGAATCGAATCAAATCGAATCTGGCACCCTTCAGTCTGTAGGCCAATGCTCTATCCACTGAGCCAAACCGGCGAGGGCCAAACATGCCCTTCTTAAAAGAACAGCACTCATATCGGGTGGGGCCCACCTTAGTGACCTCATTTTCACTTAATTACCCCTGGAAAGACCCTCTCTCCTAATAAGGTCATATTCTGAGGTACCAGAGATTAGAACTTCAACACTGAATTTTGGGAGATGTAATTCCATCCATAACATTGTGTTATCCAAAGTTGCTTCGTTGGACACATATTGGTTTCACACATATAGGAAGAGTTATACTTGTAAAAAAATGATGCTGCCTTCTTAAGGAAAATGTTCACAATTGTGTCATTCTCCGTTCGTGGGGTGGGCATTTGTGGCATGATAGATCTGCCATCACCTAGTGGTGAGACTCGGAGGTACCTCTGCTTTCCCATCTGTAAAACGGGGTCCATGACCACTCTTACGTCCCAGGATTATTGTGAGGACGAAACCATCGATATCGGTAACATGCTTATAACGGTGCCCGCATGCAGCCAATCAGTGCCAGTGGTAGCTGGTGTGGTTAGCTGAAGGGAAGGCTGAATTCTGAATCAAACGCTTCTTACCATAGCACAGTTTCTGTCGCTATCTGAATTATCATGCCCGTCAGAGCTCTAGATAACCCTAGACTGTGTTTTAAAAGGTGTTTAGTGTGGGACGAGGTGGCCGAGTGGTTAAGGCGATGGGCTGCTTAAAGGTTTGGCTTTCTAACCAGTTAAAAGTCTTCATTTCTAGCAATGGGTGGATTCCAACCTGAAATGGAACCCCAACGACTATGGCGGCGTGAAGAAGATTCACATTCCCTCCGAGAAGATCTGGCGCCCAGACCTGGTTCTCTACAACAAGTGAGCGAGACAGGCGGGCAGGCGGGGAGGGGCATTGCTGGGGAGGGGAGCTGAGAGAAGGCCACCTCTTGGTATGCTTCAGGAACCCAGAAGCCAAGCTGACATGCCAGGGGCCATATGGCGTCTCATGGTATAAAGAGAAACAATTATCCGAGTCAAATTGAATCAGGGCTGTGGGTGAGGGATGTTTAATCCCTGCACGCTCCTGCAGGGTGCATGGCAACCATCCAAGGAACCCAAACCTTCCCTAATTAAGCTCCTTGGAATTAAACGTCCTTCCTGCCAATAGGTCTGCATCATCTGAGGCTGTTGTTGTTTGTCATACCCTTGTGGCATCCCAAGATGCCCTGCCCCTGATGGCCCAGGGTGCCATGGGGCCCACCCACAGGCTCTGTGACAGACTGCATGCCATGAAATTAAAAGTGACTCAAGGCGCTCTGCTTTCATGACACGCTCATCATCACACTGCCACTGGCCAGGGAATGAGCATTTCAAATGCATCTGTCCCAGGCAGAGCACACAGCCCTGGTCTGGAGGACTTGCACGTTAGAGGTGAGAGGCTGTGTGTGCTGCAGACTTACCAGGGAAGGTGGCCACGGCGAGTGAATGGAAATGAGACGCTGTATGGCTGGCCACCCCTACTTTGATAAAAATACTCCCTGTATATTTTCCAGTTATAACTGGGATTCGAGCTTGATCCAGATTACACAACCATTTGTGTGAACTTTTCAGACAAGCATGCGCATTGTCTTGTGTTGGTGAAGTTTCTCTTCCAGTAAGAATGTGAGCGAGGGGACGAACTCCTCTGTTCCCATTAACAAGCTTGTGCAGGGACACCTGTTCGGGGGAGAACCCTGTTGACCGGCTTAGAGGGAGAGACTTAGGAGATCCTGAGGCCTCTGCTCCTTTGAAAGGCCCAATAGCACAGTTTTCTGGAGAGAGCCTGCCTCCATCCTGAGGAAAAGTCAGTGGGAAGAAAAACCTCCTGCTTTATGTCCCTGGAAGTTCACCAAGGCAGACCCAGCCCCCTGTTTACCCCTGTGCCCTGCCCTTGGCCAAGGCCTGGACACAGGCTGTTTGCAGGACCAGGGGACTGCTCACGGAACAAGGCCTGCAAAAGTGGCCTTTTTTTATTATTATTTTTTTATTTCTACCATGTTGGATGTTTTTGAACAAGAAATTAGTGCCAACATCTGAAAATTTGGAAATGCCACATCAAAACCCAAGCTTTTAGCCTCTCTAGAAAACCCCAACATTCAAGAATACGGAAACCTTGGGTTTAAAAATTTTTTAGCTTCTGAAGAAAAATCTAAATATCTGGCCACACTGGGCCTTTGCTCCCATGGGGGCAGCACAGGCAGAGCTTCACACAGCTTCACCTCTCCCTCCTTCCTTGCCTGCCTGGCCCTGGAGGCATCTGAGTGTGTGATCCCACCCCACTGAGTCCTAAATAGTTCTCAGAAAGGAATTGGACACCTTCCATAACCTGCTTGTCACAGTAACGAGCCACTGGATGTGTTCTTATTTAAAACTAGAGGCCTGGTGCACGAATTCGTGCATGGATGGGGTCCCTCAGCCTCGCTGCGATTGGGGCCGATGGGGGACAAGCCGGCTAGGGGGAGGGACTGTAGGAGGTTAGTCAGCCACGGGGAGGGACCACAGAAGGTTGGCCAGCTGTCAGTACCCGCAATTGGGACTGATGGAGGGGGGCAGCCAGCCATGGGAGGTTGGCTGTGGGAGTGCACTGACCACCAGGGGGCAGCTCCTGCATTCAGTTCTGCCCCAAGTGGTCAGTGCACATAATAGCAACTGGTTGACTCTTGGTTCAGTCATTCAGTCCTTTGGTCGCTTAGGCTTTTATATATATAGATTCCTAGGTTTTCCCCAGTTCACTTTCGAAATATAGAGGGAGGGGATAGATGGAGATGATTACCAATACTAGAAAGCACTGAGAAGAAAAAGATCTGGGATGCAGAGGGTCAGTGTTACCTGATGTTTCTTTAAAACTAGATTTCCAGATTCTTCTCCAGGTAATCAGATTCATGCTTAGATAGTGCCCAGGAATCTGTCTTTTAATCTGTACCCCAGAGATACTTATTACTAGCCAAATTTGGGAAACACTGACACAGATAAGAAGCGACACTGCCTGAAAGACAGCTTCTACAATTACCGCCCGAGTAATTACCTGGTCTCCTCTTCTGTCCCATTGTAGTGCCGATGGTGACTTTGCCATCGTCAAGTTCACCAAAGTGCTCCTGGACTACACTGGCCATATCACGTGGACACCTCCAGCCATCTTCAAAAGCTACTGTGAGATCATCGTCACCCACTTTCCCTTTGATGAGCAGAACTGCAGCATGAAGCTGGGCACCTGGACCTACGATGGCTCTGTGGTGGCCATCAACCCGGTAGGTGGTGACCTTGTGTGCTGAGGTTGGGCTCAGGTGAAGCAAGGTTCAGGTCTTCAGCTCTGCCCCTTCGTGATCAGAGGCTCTCTGCACCATTGAGAGCCCCGGGGACCATCTAGTCAGATGGCTCTCAATGGATTGGTAAAGTTCTGGATGTGCTGCCCATGAGAATCACCTGGACACTAAAATGAAGTCCCAAGAATATGTACCTAATCCATCTGGGGTGGGGCTAGGGCACCAATATGTTTTCAAGCTTCTAGGTCAGTGGTCGGCAAACTGTGGCTCGCGAGCTACATGCGGCTCTTCGGCCCCTTGAGTGTGGCTCTTCCGCAAAATACCACGTACCCTAATTAAGTGAATAACAATGGACCTACCTATATAGTTTAAAAAATGTGGCTCTCCAAAGAAATTTCAATCGTTGTGCTGTTGATATCTGGCTTTGTTGACTAATGAGTTTGCCGACCACTGTCCTATAATAGGTGACTTGAATGTATAATCAGCTTGGAGAATTCCGGTAGTTCCAACACCCTCATTTGGTAGGAAAGGAACCTGAGACTTAAAAGTGGAAGTGCCTCAGGGTTCCACCTGGGCATGGGCTAGCGCTGGGATCTGCAGCCTTGTCACAGGTCATCGCGAAACCCTGGCCCTCCTTGGGGTGACATGGCTGGGTTTTCAGAGTTTTATTCATCTTCTCAGGAGAGCGACAAGCCAGACCTGAGCAACTTCATGGAGAGTGGGGAGTGGGTGATCAAGGAGGCCCGGGGCTGGAAGCACTGGGTGTTCTACGCCTGCTGCGCCTCCACCCCCTACCTGGACATCACCTACCACTTCGTCATGCAGCGCCTGCCCCTCTACTTCATCGTCAACGTCATCATCCCCTGCCTGCTCTTCTCCTTCCTGACCGGCCTGGTGTTCTACCTGCCCACGGACTCAGGTGGGTGCCGTTGCCATGGCGGTGGCTGCTGATGCGAACAGATTTTGTGCTGCTATTTTGGGAAAAGTCAGAAATAATTATAGGCTAATAAAAAAAATATATGGCAGGCAGAGCCAAATCATCATCCCTCGAAGGGCACGCTTACTGAGTGGTCATGTGCCATGGTGAGAGCACTGTGGGTGGGACTCCCAGTGGAAGCAGACTACAGAGAGCTGAACGAGACCCTGGAAATGCACATGCATAGCTCAGTCTACTTAGAGGAAATAATCACCAATCCCTACCTGTTGAACACCTACTGTGTGCTGGGTAAGGTGTGGATCACAGACAGGCCTCATGCCAGTTCCCCTGGGCAGGCACTTGCTCTTTACTAACCAATCAGGTCTTCCCTCTTGTTCTCACTGCTGGCCACTTGAAAATAGCTTTTGCCTATATTTTTTACACATCAGCCCACACAGCTTACCTCCCACTGAGTCCGCACATCTCACCAAACAACAGCAATGGACAGGAAACAGGAATAGGGTCTCTATACATCTGCCAGCTGGTCCCTAATCATAAACAATCCATGACTGATAAGTGTGTATGTGAGGGGGTGGGGCAGAGGTGGTACAGACAGTCCTCAAACTTATGACTTATGACAAGTCAAATTTCATCAAAATGACAAGGGGAAAAAACTTACAAAAGTCTAAATCCAACTTTCTAACAAGGAAAAATCAAAACAAACTGCATTCACTCATTCAACATACAATACCTGTTGAACATCGGTTAGGCAGCAGGAATACAGTGGAAAATAAGGCAGAATTCGTCCCTGCAGAATCTATGTTCTAGTGATTGTACTTAGTTTTAAACAAATGATCACAAACAAATATTTTTTCAACTTTCCAATCAAATGAAGCTTCTTAAAGTGAAGGGAGGAAGCAATAGTCAGGCAATATGGAAACTACTCACAGTTTCTATACATGCTTTATGCTTGGAAAGTATTTTTTTTAACAGTGAGATGCTTGATGAATGTGAACCATTATTATTATCATCATCACTATTATTCATCAAGAAATGGGATGCAAATGGATCAGTATTTCATATTTATAATTCTGCCTTCTTTTTCACTTTTAAAGGCTTTCCTCCTCACCAGGTAGAATTCCACTCACACGGTAGACTGATGACTTCTTGTTTGCACCTGCTCTGTATCCTGCATACACTCCTACATCTAGAAGCATCCTGTGTGCAGGGGTGCGGGGAGAGGCGGGCCAGGGGAGCTCCATACTGGAAAGCAGGATAACACGAGGGTTCCCAGGACACAAACAGCAAACCAGCCTGAGGAAGCCCCTCCCAGTGGCTCTCCACTGCACCTGAGGTGGTGGTCCCCACAAAGCATCCCACTGCCCTTCAGCCCTGCCCTTCTTGTTCACCGTACTTGCCTAACCAAGACTGCAGCAGAGAATGGTGGGCCTGGAGAAAGGAGGTGGGGCAGGGCACTCCCTGGTCCCTTCGTATGAAAAAACAAAACAACAAAAACAATCATCTCTTTAGAGGAAAGTCAATGGGGTGAAATCATTGCTTTCGTTTGCTCAGTTTGGGTCTTACCCTTGCTCTCATAATGAGAAAATTGTACATGAACCTCTGGCCGCCCACCCACCGGCAGGCTAATGAGCAGGCCATGCTGCGGCTCCGTGTGGTGAGGTTGAGGATGTTCTGCTATGGAGGGGAAAGCTGCCACCCGGGTCTCGGACCTCGGTTCCCTGGGCTCCATCACGAAGTGGAATTCTGGGGCAGGAGACGCAGCCGCTGTTTCCTGCCTCGTGGCCTCTAATGAAAACACCTGCCACGTGCCAGTGTCTGCAGAGTTAAGGTGCCACAGGAGATTTTGCCCAAAACATGCCCCCAGAATGATGCTTTGAGAAATGCCTGTCACATTCCTCTCACCCAAGGGTTTCAGTGGTGTCTTGGTCTGAGAGAGCTGCCATAGCAAAGGACACAGCCTGGGGAGCTTCAGAAGCAGGCATTTGCGGTCTCACAGCTCTGGAAGCTGGAAGTCCGAGATCAAGGTGTCAGCCCGGGTGGTTTCCTCCAGGGCCTCTCTCTTGGCTCACAGATACCAGTCTCCTCCTTGTGTCCTCACCTGGTCTTTCCTCTGTGTATATCTGTGTTCTTCTTAGGCGGACACCAGTCCTGTTGGATGAGGACCCACCCTGAGACCTCATCTATATATATAAAAGGCTTATATGCTAAGTTGCCAACCATCTGGCTGGCCGCTATGACATGCACTGACCACCAGGGGGCAGACTCTCAAAGCAGGAGCTTCCAAGCTGCAGTGACTTGGCAGCTGCAGTACTCGGGTGATACACCCTGAACCCAGAGAGGAGGGAGCTTGATTCCACGAGGGGCTTGTGATTCCACCTTTGGCCATGGGTTATGTTGTTGCTGGGGCACTGTTGGTCCCAAATCTGGTTTATTGCACACTTGCATTTGCATTCCACACCCTGTATGACGGCAACTTTGCAGAGTGCCTCTCGCACTCTAGGACCCTCAGGGGATTTGGAGAGCTGGTTTTGGCCCAGTATCCATGGGCCAGGCCAAGGGATCCTACCTGCCAGAAGGACCCTGCTCACTCTGCAGGTGCTCTTTGAACCAGCGCCACCCCAGGTGTGGCCAGCTGGGGAGGACTGTGGGAAGTTGGGTCCAAGGCACGTCCAGCCTGTCTTGCCCAGTCCCACGCCACCAGCCACCTCCTAATTAATTTCCTTTCAATGTGCACCCATCTGTGCACCGGGGCACTAGTTTTATTTTATTTTATTTTTTAAAATATATTTTATTGATTTTTTACAGAGAGGAAGAGAGAGGGATAGAGAGTTAGAAACACCGATGAGAGAGAATCATCGATCAGCTGCCTCTTGCACACCCCCCACTGGGGATGCGGGGCACTAGTTTTAATTTAATCATCTCTTCATAGACCCCATCTCCAAGCAGTCACTGAATGGTGAGGCTTAGGGCTTCAACATATAAATTTGAGAGGAGCAGCAGTTCAGGGCGTAACAGAGGGCAGTTGTGCTTTGCCTCTATTGTGTCCAGGAGAGAAGATGACTCTGAGCATCTCTGTGCTGCTGTCCCTCACCGTGTTCCTGCTGGTCATCGTGGAGCTGATCCCCTCCACCTCCAGCGCCGTGCCCTTGATCGGGAAATACATGCTCTTCACCATGGTGTTCGTCATCGCATCCATCATCATCACCGTCATCGTCATCAACACGCACCACCGCTCCCCCAGCACCCACGTCATGCCCGACTGGGTGCGGAAGGTGAGTGAGCGAGGCCCCTGCAAACCCCACATAGGGCCTCCCTCCCCTCCTCCCCCGCCCTTGTCCCCATGGCCAGCAGAATTCTGCTCACCCTTGTGGGTACTCAGAGCTGCAAGTTCTTTTGGGCTGTATGACATTTTTGGAAGGACTGTTCTTGGGCCTCTTCCTAGAGATAAGTAGCCCACATATTCCTCAGAGAGAGAAGAAAACCAGAATTACCAAAGCTCACCTCTAATTCAAGCTCTAAGAACCTTTGTAATTAGCGATGATAAATACATCACTGTCCTTTTTATTCAAATGCTGGGGGATTCTTGAGGTTGCTGTTTGTATGGCTTGCAGTCTGTGAAGAGGTTGCTTATTTTTTGCTGGTAGAATCATCTGCAGAGAATAAAGGCTAGAGATGGAGGGGAGGCTTGATAAGAGATGGCCAAAGTGAGTTTTAATGGGGAGCTTGGTCTCAAGTATTTACATTTTTGAAATGTAAAATGCATTCACATTTCAAATATCAGTTGCTGTTGTCGTTGTTGTTTTATATAAGACTTCACAGACACACAAGTGGCCAGGATCTTTTGTGTAAAATTAAAACTATTTGTCATGAATTGACAGAAACTACTGCTCACAATGTATTTCTTGGAGAAGAAATGGCCCCTGTTTGCATTAAGACTGTTGAATGACTTCTGGCAATACCTGTCTTGCATTTTTTCAGAAACAAGAAATGAAAGAAAATAGTTTAGCTGTTTTGTGGAGCCAGAACCTTATATATATTTTTATCTTGACAGACTCTTTCTTTAACCATATAATCTTGAAAGAAGCAGGTACCTGCAAGGGGCCCAGAAGCTAAGCATCATTGGTTTCCCAAGAGTTCAACAGCTGCATCCAGGCGCCCTCCAGTGGTAAAATGCTCACATGACAGAATCGGCACTGTTGACCACTGTTAATTCCACAGGCCACAGGCTATGTATGCATGAAGGAATCTTTGAGAAAATCTAGCAGCGTCCTTTTGTTTAAAGGACAAAAAGGCGGGGGTCCAGAGAAGCCAAATGACTTGCCTAAAGTTACGTTACTAATTCAAAATCAGAGTTTGATGCTTGCCTTGCTGGCCACTATGCTCATAAATGGATTTCTTTTCCAACGGTAGGTTTTCATCGACACCATCCCAAATATCATGTTCTTCTCCACCATGAAGAGGCCATCCAGAGAAAAACAAGACAAGAAGATTTTCACCGAAGACATTGACATTTCGGACATTTCTGGGAAGCCGGGGCCTCCGCCCATGGCCTTCCACTCCCCGCTGATCAAGCACCCCGAGGTGAAAAGTGCCATCGAGGGCGTCAAGTACATCGCGGAGACCATGAAGTCAGACCAGGAGTCCAATAACGTGAGCTCTGCGACTTGACATCCACACCGCTGGGTTTAAAGAACCAAATGCTCGCATGCAGGGGGTGGGTTTGGCTTGATGGGCAAGTTAGGGTTTCAGTAGGGTTTCAGCTACTGACCTAAGGTAAGCCTGGTGACCGCCTCTAGGCCACCTTAGTGAGTAATCAATTCAACATGTAAAGATCGTAATGGCAGCCTAAGGATGCTGAGGGCTTTGCAATCTGCAAATCAAAGGCTGTGCTGGTAGGAGATGCATAACCTGCATTGTGGGCCGAAGGACCCCTTAAGGAAATTCTAACCTTTTCTTTCCTCCCAGGCGGCTGAGGAGTGGAAGTATGTGGCGATGGTGATGGACCACATTCTCCTTGGAGTCTTCATGCTTGTCTGTATAATCGGAACCTTGGCTGTGTTTGCAGGCCGGCTCATCGAGTTAAATCAGCAAGGATGAGCAGAGAGCTGAGCTGAGCCCAGCTCCGCCCCAGCCCCGGGCAGAGAAGAGAAAGGTGGGCAAACAGCAAGACTTGTCCGCTTGGATATAAGCTCACTCATCAAGCGTTTGATTTTCTATATGTATGATTAACAACAATAATTTACATTTGTAAGGTTGTGGCCTCAAAGTGTTTTCACCTTGCTTCTCCCCTCAATCTCTGTCAGCCTGGAAAGTAAACCCCTTTCAGGAAATCAAACTGGATTACTACAATAAGTTTCCACCCTCAATGACGTCTGGAAGAGTTTTGCCCAAAAATAGCTGAGGTTTTCTGTTGGTTTGTTTTTCTGTTTTTATTGACTTAAGCAAAGAATGTATCCTTGGCTTAAAAGCCAGTTTTGAAGGAAAAAAAAAAAAAAGCCAGTTTTGTGCCTACTGGAAAGCCGCACCTACCAGTCCCAGGAAGGTAAAGAAAGCACTGGACCTGGAGAGAAAGGAGGCAGTAGAAAGGCTGCCAACATGCAGACTGCATCAAGCCACGTGATAAGGTCCATGTCTACACCCGGTGGGTGAGGACGGCATTTCCCCGTCTGAGGCAGCACCTGAGTTTGACACTCAGGGTTTGAGGGAACACAGGTTCTGACCTGTAGTGAGTGGACAGGCCAGGCACGAGGGAATCACCTCACAGACAAGATTAATTTCATCCTCATCATTTGCATACAGATGGGGAAACTGAGCCTGAGGGAGGTTAAGTTCACTGCCTAAACTATCAAAGAGAAGAACTGGGATTCAAACCCAGACCAGCTCTGGGTTGAAGCAGCTCCGGGCTGGTCAGTTCATCTGTGCCTTGCTCTCCCGGCCACCCCTGGCTCGATCTTGGCCATTCTGTCACTCTGGTCAGTATCTTGAGTGCTTCAGTGTTGGCGTCCACAATCTTTCTGCCTTCCCAATGAAACTTCCTGCCTTTCTTCCTACCCCTGGCCCCATGGAGAATGTTCTTTAGCAACCTCCTAGCCACAGTGTGATTCACGCAGAACTAGAAAATGTGCAGGCTTGGCCTTGGGTCACCAGAACACATCTGCCCACATCAGTCCGGGGAAGAGCAGGGACCTGCGCTGCTGGGGTCCTGACTGAACCCGGCTGGTCTGTCTACTTCTCCGAGGGGGCCCCTCTCACACACCATGGCAGGACCGGTGCCTTCGTTTTTGAGTAAACTAAAGAGAAAACAGTTTGGTGACTCCTCAAAAAAAACTAAACACAGAATTATCACATGACCCAGCGATTCCATTCCCAAAAGAATTGAGAGCCGGGGCTCGAACAGATACTTGGATGCCAAGTGTTCAGAGAGCGTTACTCACAACAGCCAAAAGGTGCCAACAGCCTACGTGTCCATCAGATAAGCAAAAGGTAGTCCATACATGCAATGGAACAGTATCAGCCTTAAAGAGCATACAGTTCTGACACCTGTTATAATGTGGATCAACCATGAAAACATACTAAACGAAATGCGCCAGGCACCAAAGGACAAATATTGTACGATTCCACGCACAGGAGGTACCCCGGGTAGGCAAATTCATTGAGATAGAAAGCAGGAGAGTGGTTCCCAGGGCTAGAGGAAGGGGCGATTACTGCTTAGTGGACAGAGTTTCAGTTTGGGATGATGAAAAAGTTCTGGAAATGGACAGTGGTGAGGGTTGCACAACCTCACGAAGGTACTTAATGCCACTGCGTTGTATACTGAAAGACGCCTAAAGTGAGACATGTTGTGCTATGAATATTTTACCACAATAAAAAGTGTTGTTGTTGATTAAATCATAAACTGCTCCTTTGCTCATCCTTAACATTGGACCCTGGGTGAGGACTGGCTGAAAATCTCTCTCTCTCTTTCTCTCTCTCTCTCTCTCTCTCTCTCTCTCTCTCTCTCTCTCTCTCTCTCTCTCTCTCTCTCCCTCCCTCCCTCCCTTCCTCCCTCCCTCCTTCCCTTCCTTCTTCCCTCCCTCTCTCCCCAAACATCCCTTAGGGGCCTAGCTTCCTCCTAGAACCCAGCCCTGACACATTTCCCTCAGAAAGTCAGGGGGAGACTAGAACAGGGAAACTGTTGTGTCTCCCCCACCCACCCCCAAATTTAAACCACTTTTGGGCAAGTGTCCCACCCGCTGGCGCCGCCCAGGGGCCCACAATGAGGGGAGAGCAGGGAGCAGAGATGGGGCGGGGGTCTCCCTCCCTCTTCCCAGCCCCTGGGGCTCTTCCCCAAATCCTCCCCCTCTCCAACATCCGGGAGGCCCTGCTAAGGCGCCCTTAGTAGGAGTTTAATTTTTAGCCAGAAAAATCGACTTCTTGAACAATCTTTATTTTTTGAACATCAAGGCGAGAGAGAGCTTTAGTCCTGATTCTAGTCTCCTAGCTATAGCCTTCTGCTAAAGGCCTCCTGTCGCTTCAAAGTATGTCCTTGCATACCTGTCTGATTTGAACTCCCCACTCAGCCTCTTCCCAAGGTCAGAGGCTGTTTTCTGCTTGTGTTTATGCTCTCAGGGATTCGGCAAATGCGGAAAATGTGCCGAGGGGACGAGAGTCGTTGCAGGGCATTCTCTGGTGAACATCCACCTTGGGTCTCCCGGTAGGCAAGCCGGAGGCTCCGGCGGGGCCCGGGGTGCTCCCGACACACCTGTGCTTGCCCGAGGGCCCACCACAGGCTCTGCAGCCCGAGCACAGGCTCAACGCGAGGGAGGCACATTTGTGAGCCCTTCCGCACGTTTCTCAGACCGTACCCCTCCGCGGCCTGCATCGCTACAGCCTGGTGCATAGGCGCAGGCTTTGGCCTCCAGGAAGCTCTCTGCACAGCTGCCCGGGCCGCCCTTTCCTGCCTCATCACATCCACGGGACCCCGCGAGCTCCCTGATGCCTGCTTCACCTGCTGCTTTATGGATGTCAACCTGTCTCCAGCGGGATGGGGCCTACCTGGGAAAGGAAGTCAGGACCCTCACCTGTACGTTCTGTGGGACCTGGGGCAAGTTACTTAACCTTCTGAGCCCAGAGGAAAGCACGGGATGGTGCCCACTTCCCCGGGCAGGCACTCTGCAGTGCTCCTTCAATAACCCTCAGGCAAAGGTCCGCCCTAACCACCCTCCCCCATCCCCAGGAGATTCTCCACCAAACCCTGAGAGGGTTGAGTACCTGGTGTCCAAAGATATTGGTTGAATTTTTTCTCCATAGATTTAAATATATATAATTTTTAATTGGTTTCAGAGAGGAAGGGAGAGGGAGACAGAAACATGAGAGAGAATCATTGATTGGCTGATTTCATCATGTCCCCCCTCTCCCTCTCTTCTCTCCCCTCCCCCAACACACACACACACACACACACACACACACACACACACACTGGGGATCAAGCCTGAAATCCGGGCATGTGCCCTGATGGGGAATCACTCAGCCACTCCGCCAGGCCGGCAGGGCTCAGTGGCTGTTGATACAGTCACAAGGCAATGTGCTCATCATCACTGTGAACTGGTAATGCCTGTACATTCCCATCAGCCCCTCTGAGCTATATATTTCCGTAAAGCTTTGTTTAGTTTTAAATGAATCAAAGCACATTTTGACTCTATCACACTACATACAATTATTCTACTTTATAATCACTGGTGGCATGTACCATGTGTCAGGTATTGTTTTGAGTGCTTTATACAAATAATAAATCCAACATGGTAAGTTCTATCAGCATCATTATTCTGTTACTGAAGAAGAAACTGAGCCGTGGAAAGGACCGGAATCTTGCCCAAGCCCACACAGCGGGAAGGGGCAGAGAAGGGATTTGAACCCAAGGCTCCCTCAGCCGTGCTCCTCACCACTCCTGCTCCCGCCTGACCAGGGCATTAGGGTTTAACACCAACCAACCAAACACAAGCAAACATAGAACCCTTAAGCATGAAAGCCTGCTTCCTTCCTCCCCATGTTATCAGTCACCGTTGGGCATTATTTTTACTAAACTTGAAGGACTTGTCCACTGCAGGCCCGAGCCGAGGCTCTATGGGTGACACGGAAATCCAGAAGGCCTGGTCTGCATCCTCCAGAAGTGAGCGGAATGAGCAACAGCACAGGCAGAAGGTGGCGCCCACACACGGCATTCAGACTCGGGAGAGTCCAGCCACTGCTGATGGCAGAAAGCTGGGACCTACTGTCACCACAGGAACCTTAAGTAACGAAATAGTACATTTAAAAGACACACCTGAGTGTTCGTTACTTTCATAGCTCAGTATTTGCAACACTTCATAAAGGAAAGTGCGCATCCTGAGTCGGAAGGCCTGGACTCAGCCAACAAACATCCTCCAGGAGACTTTGCCCCTCATGAAACCTTGGGCACTACGCTCGGGCTGTTATCTCAGATTTGTTGCCCACACGTGAAGCTCCGAAGCATTTTTATAAGTAGAGCTTCCATTGCTAGGAACCCCTGAGTTTATCGAGGGCTCTGAAGAACCCTCCAGCCTGGTCTAGGGTATCCATTTAGAAAACATTTCAAATGGTACCTTTCCCCCCCTCTATTAATCATGGAATTCCTTTTTAAAAAAAATAATGCACCACTGATTCCTTTTAGACATAATGCACCAATGACAATAATTTTGATAGTATGTTTTTGTTTGGTGGGCTATTTGGAGAGAAGGTGGTTAAAAGGCCCAACATACTACACTTAATGTGGGAAGCAATGGACAAACCTGAAGAAATTCTATTTTGGTTAAATAAACTGGGCAGCAGCTCCCTCTAGTGCTGAAATATAAGTACTACATCCACTGGATTAAAATGGGGGAAAGCATCCCTTAATTACTTGCTTCAAGAGCCTTCCCCAAATGCTTTCAGTCTAAGGGAAGCACGTGCTTAGTTACTCTTTATTTTAACTGGAACATGCACTGCCTTACTACCTAGTTGACTGGTTCCTCAAACACTTACTAAGCACTTACTGGTGCCCATTGCTGTCCCCCAACTGCGACCTCGTGCCTCTGAACTATCTCCTTTCTCCCTGAGTCATC